TTTTAATTATGGAAGCACCTCTAGATTTCAGCTGGATACTTCCCTCCTTTCTGAGCACTGTGTGTGCAGTCTGTAGTTCTTAATGACCTGTTAAAGGTAACGATGGCAGCAGAGCACATTTCAGGCATTGGCGAGTTAGACATTTATTGGCCTGGGAATAAGTAAACTTCCATGAAATGTTAGAGAAAAGAGCTGTTTTTCACAGAGTGAAGAATGGGGTGGGGTGAGGAGAGGGGGAGGAAAACAGAGTTGGTGGGTTTGCCTTTAGGATTCTGACCCATTTCCCTGTGTTTCTTTAGTATCCCCCATTTGTCACATTCACTTTTGCCTACTTCAAACCTGCAGCTTTTCAGTTTCCTTAAAATAAAGGCACAATGCACAAATGCAAGTTTAAGAGACATTGTGATACTTCTAAGCTACTAAAAATAGACTGTGTTTGCAAGCAGTTGCTACAGCCAGGATTTCCATGGGAACATTAATAAAGAAATCTTGAGACAATTAGAATAATTACAGAGCAGCGCTGCAGGCAGACCTAGTACCTCTCCTCAGAGTCTGTCTCTTGATCATTCTTTGCTTTTTTTGAGCACAGAAAAACAAAAGATAAGATGTATTTCTTGATTCGGCACTTCAAAAATAGCTCATATTTACATTTCCAAGCTAAAGTTATAAATACCTTTATAGCAATAGTGACTCTGAGCATCTGAGCATTTCATTCCTGTCTGATTTTTCTCTCTCAGTTCTCATCAATATTTACTTTTAAACAGTCTCCATAAAAAGTCTGTAATCCTGCAAACGCTATGCTGACTTCTGAAACCATGTTTTGATGAATATCCAGGTGTTGGCAGGATGTAGCAGACTTCCAGGATAGCCTTTCCTGATTAGATGTTCATTACACCTGGGTTTTTTGGTCCTGTTTTTCTCAGTCCTGTTTTAGGTAGTCCACCTACACAAGGCCAAAGCCTCTCTGGCTACCAGTTCTCATTGTAAATCACTGTTGTTTCTCAGGTCTCCTGACCCTTTAAGAGATCTTTGTATCTATTCAGGCTTTTTGATAGTAATACAAGTTTCAATTTCTTAACTAAATACCCATGAAGCTTTAACTAAATACCTGTGGAGTTTGACTATATCGCTTATGGAGCTTGAGTGGCCCTCGTCATACATACTTTGTTAATGATTGGTATGAAATTCTCTCGCTTTACAATCCTTTGTCAGCTGCTGTGTGGTTTATTGATACATGGTTCCTTCAAGTTCCTGCACCTGCAGGGAGCATTATCAGAGCCTGGCCATGGTGTCTTCACTCTGCTCCACTCTGTTCAGTTTATCTCGGCATACGCCAAGGTTTCCTGGGGAACAGCCATAGGGCAGGTTCTGTGCATATCAGCCGCATTCCATCCTGGAAGTCACAGCTGCATTTTCTCCTAAAATATCCTTTGAGGGGATGAAGGCACAGACTCTGATGAAAGATCGAAGACGTAATTTATTTGCTGACTGCCTTTATTTATCTTCGACTGACAGAAAGGTTCCACTTGGCTACAACTAATTGGTCATTCTTATCTGTTTGCGCCTTAAACTATACTGTTGTTTCTCAGGTCTCCTGACCCTTTAAGAGATCTTTGTATCTATTCAGGCTTTTTGATAGTAATACAAGTTTCAATTTCTTAACTAAATACCCATGAAGCTTTAACTAAATACCTGTGGAGTTTGACTATATCGCTTATGGAGCTTGAGTGGCCCTCGTCATACATACTTTGTTAATGATTGGTATGAAATTCTCTCGCTTTACAATCCTTTGTCAGCTGCTGTGTGGTTTATTGATACATGGTTCCTTCAAGTTCCTGCACCTGCAGGGAGCATTATCAGAGCCTGGCCATGGTGTCTTCACTCTGCTCCACTCTGTTCAGTTTATCTCGGCATACGCCAAGGTTTCCTGGGGAACAGCCATAGGGCAGGTTCTGTGCATATCAGCCGCATTCCATCCTGGAAGTCACAGCTGCATTTTCTCCTAAAATATCCTTTGAGGGGATGAAGGCACAGACTCTGATGAAAGATCGAAGACGTAATTTATTTGCTGACTGCCTTTATTTATCTTCGACTGACAGAAAGGTTCCACTTGGCTACAACTAATTGGTCATTCTTATCTGTTTGCGCCTTAAACTATACATTTCATTTGCTACCTACTACTGCCCGCGTGACACTACGTATTATAGCTGTTAACCCTTAACTTGGCATCTTCTCTTCATCCTTGGTCTGGGTTCACTCTCGTTCATGTTCGTCTTTTCCCTCTGGGGCCTTCTTCTATCAGCTGCATGCAGTTGTGGCCTCCTGCCTCTGCTAGGAATGTCCCCACAATCCTTAATATTGTAATATTGAGGATCTAGGGGAATGAGTGGTGGTCTCTAATTTCCCCCATTATTCCACATGCTTTTTGGTAGTTAGTTACTTGTTTTGTGTATAAGTATACTTTCAGTTGTTTAATGCTATGAATAAGTAAAACTTACAGGTTGAGAAGAATTGTTGATGACTTTTTCAGATTATTGAGAGTCTTGGAGAAGTCTAATACAAATAGACTTGTATTGGCCTAAGTATCACTGAAGAGTACCTGAATGGGGATTGCAAGACCAAGTCTTACAGTTTATCCCTTATTAAAATTTTATAAAAGAATTCTTGATGGTTGAACAGAGGCCTTGCTTTGCCAGTGTATGGTTGGATAGTTTGGATTTCAGAATGTTGGAGGGATTTCAGAACACCCAAAGGAAAAAAGTTCTTTGTGTTTGCTTGAAAAGGGGGAAAAGAAGGTAAACAAAACCTGAAATAATAAAAAATGGCATTCATATGGCAGACACGTAGTGGTTTAATCCAGCAGAGGGAGCAGCTGACCAGCGTTGGGATTGGCTTTGGGAAATCTGTCCACAGGAAAATTTGTGATGAAAACCATTTAACTACCTGTAAAGTGTTTGAAATGATATTGTATCTCTTGAATTGTAATGATAAGTGATGGATTTATAATATTTTCTTAATATAGTCAACCATCAAGATATAAATTGCAAATCACATTTTTGTTAAGATTGGAGAGATGCTAAGGTTGGAATCAGTGTGTTCATTAGTGTTTTAAATATTCAGGGTGTCTGAACTGGAGACAGTTGCTTTTCATTGTGCCTGTGCATAAAGACAAATTATTCTTTTACGTTGACTGTTTATATTGATCTTAACTTGGAATCATGGAATCATACAATGGTTCGTTTTGAAAGGAGCATTCAAATGTCATCTAGTCCAACCCTGCTGTGGGCAGACGTATATCTCACTAGATCAGGTTGCTTAATGTCCTGTCCAGCCTGACTTTGAACACTTCCAATGATGGGGCATCCACAGCTTCTGTTCAACAACCTTTAAACATCCCTTCCAGTTTACATTATTTTCTGAGTCTCTCTACAGTGTTCAGCTCAGAACAAGGAAGGCCTCTCTAGCATGCTGAAGTTCCCAGGCTGCTACCTCTCCCTGCCTGCCCTGCTCTCTGCCTCTAGAAAGGAAGGCCCTACTTGACAGAGCACCTTTTCCTGCCTCTATTGTTGTGCATGGCTTTTGCTCTATACCCATAGCATGGTTTTGATTTAGAGCCTTCCTCTTTTCCCTTAACCTCCCACCATGCTTCCTGAAAAGAATTCAAGCACATGCTCCACATTAATTTATTAATAGCAAGAGGCCATGTGTTGAGAGTAGTATTGCATCATTTGAGTTTGTACAGTGAATAAACCATTATATTGTTGTGTTGTCTTGATCCATCAAACATGTAGCAGTTGCTTCAGGTATTTCCTAGTTTTAAAATTTAGTTTTCTATTTATATAAACCAGTTGTATTACAGTGATAACAAGTCAGAATCAATGTGGATGTTAGAAAACAAAGAAAGTATTTCTACCCAGTGAGTACCTAGGTGAAAGGCCATGGGTTGGGGAGTTAAAAGTAAGAGGATGGTGAGATTGGGTAGTCAGAATTTTGCTGATGAGCTTACAGAGGCCAGAGCAGACCTTAAATGGCAAAATTTAGATGTGTACCATCTAACTGCACCATAGAGAGTGGTGGTAGTGAAAAGTGGGCAGAGGCAAAGAAAAACGTTTCTCTAAGTGTCAGGGCTGAAGGACAATGTAAAAACTCAGGTATTGGTTTTGTGATAACTAGTCAACTGTCTTTGTAGCAGACAGCAGGAAATACAAACAAGAGAGTGTGTCCCAGGACAGAATCTTCTGCAGTAATATAGATTAATGTCTAGTTAAAGACGTATAGTCATGTTTTGAAATTTTTACCAGACACAAAATCTTCTAGTTTATAGTTTCCATTAAATATTCACTTAAATAACTGTGATTTGCCTGTGTACTTTTAAAAATCAATATATTTTGGACATTCTCACTGTATGCATGCTTACAATCCAGAAATAAATGGTCTATGTCCTTTAGCTAAAGACAGCTAAAGGGCAAATGAGGAAAAGTGGTTCATCAGTTATTATGTATTAATACTAACAGATAATGCAAAATAGTGTGATAATGCAATCCTGAAAAGTAAATATTTCTTAAAACTGCATTTTGCATTTGATAGTGGATATAAGATCAGTTTCTGGCCATGCTTCCCATTCAACATAGTACTTTACAGGGTTAATCTTGTTTTAAATTCTGGTTTATAAATAAATAAAATGATCCAATATTCTGTATATTCTTTCTTTAATGCACATTAAATGTAATGCAAGTTTTAGTAGGAATTGTTAAAGAAATATGACATATTTAATTACTATCCTAAACCCAGTGCTTTGAAGTCTAGCAAGTGAAATATGCTGATACAGGCAATGTTACTTTTAAAACTTGAATGAAAGGAAAGGTAAGTGTTAAAAAGAGATGCCTCTGTTTTACAGCTTTAAAAGATGAGGGTAAACTTGTGTTTATTTTGACAGTTTCATATCTAGATGTTACTTTGCTGTTAACACAAGGGCATTAATTTGCAGTTTCTTTTTGCAGGTGCTGCTTTGTGCTGTAATTGGTATGCATCCAGAAGATCCACTTAAGTTTTTAGAAGAAAAGCTCAAAGAAATAATGGAAAAGGGATTAGACGCTGTCTTGTGGTAAATACGAAATGATTGTGTGTGTGCTCTGTGGGTTAGAATATTGAACTTGGACTTTTAAAACATGCTAACGGCACAGCATCTGTTTAGGTGGCAAGTTAAATGTTAATACTGCTTTTTTTTCAAATATTAATGGCGTATGATATTGCAAATACAGTAAGACAATATCTTTTAAAACATAGAAAATATTTTTCTTTTGATATCTCTGGAGTTTTTTGTCTAAAGAATATGTAATGGATAGAACCTCTACTTAATGTTCCTCTTTGTTTACTTACTGTATTAAACCGAGGTAGTGTTACTTGTTATAACTTCATTGCTGACCATCGATATTTACCTATATGAACTAGGGATGTGGCCTTCAACACTGAATCATTAATTGTGGTGTTTCTCATTTTAACTCTTCTCTCTGTGTTCTTTCACCTTTTTAAGTTAAGTCATCACATCATGAGATAAAAAAGACTAAGGATTTCATTCTTTTCACACTGGTATCTTATGAAATACTGTGATTGACTTAAATGGGAGAAGGCTTTAGTCTCTAAAATATGTGCTATAGACTAAAAAATGCCATCTGAATTTTTAAACATATGTTTCACAGCAAGTGCTTTTTCTCAGACTTGTTGAAAGTTTTGAATATCAGGAAGAAAGCTCCATTTGGTGCAGAGGGAAGAGTAACAAGCTATAATGGTATTTCTGTTGACATGAATCACTGAGAAGATGGAATACCCTCTTTTTTTACTTGCTGGACTTAATCCAAGAATGCAGTTTCATTTGTAGCTGTCACAGCTGTGCAGTAATCAAGCCTGATGTTTTAGGATATCATCAGGATTAATGAAGCTGCAAGAAAACTTTAAATATTGAGAAGAACTTCTACTAAGATTGTAGTGTAAGCAAGTAAGAAAAAAGATGAACAATATTTCATAGCAGTCAGACTGCCTGGAGGCCATAACTGCTGGGGAGTGGAAAGAGCTTTGTGCAGGAAGGAGATGGGAAGTCTTAGTTCCGTATGAATTCAGTTCTGTGTTACATGTAAAGTCTCTACAATAGAGTGTTTTAGAGTTCAGGTTAAGTAGGTGTGCTGTCACTAAGGCAACTTTCTAGTAAGGGACTTTGGTTGAGGTACTGATTTCTGTAAAATGCCTCACCATTGTCAGAAAATTGCAGTGTTCATCACTGGATTAAAACTGACCCCGGAAGATGCTGCTGGTCTATTTAGATGGGAGCTAGAAAACCTTAGAGAATGAGAACTGGAAAAAAGAGGGAAGGCAGTATAACGGGCAAATGGTTAATGCTAGGAAAATAAACATCTTTTGCAATGCAAAAGAGGCTGTAGTTTCAAAGGGCTAGCCAGGGGGGTACTTACCTTGCTTTTGTGTTCTGTGCAGTTGCCACTTCTGGTTGAAGTTTCCGTAGGAGGTGAATAATAATTCCTTAATCTTTGGGCCCACTTAAGTCTGGACCCCCAGCTGCACTGGGTGCACTCATCAATCGACTTTATTGTTTACTTTGCGTTATTTATAATGTCTTTCCTAGAAGTTAAAAACTGATTTGATTTCTCTTTTAATTTTAGTCCTCTGGTAAATACTTTTTATTTCAGTATTTCTCATGGAATTTTAATACAGCATAGTAATTTTTTACTTATTTGGCTCTTGCAATGTGCCTTCTTTTTCTGTAATGAAAACAGAAGTTTACCTACCTAGACTTGGCATGGCCTATCTGCAACAGCAGGAAACATTGCTCCAGCTACTTACAGCTTGAAATGGCTGTTCAGTTAATATTAAGATGAGAAACAAAATAGCATAATCTAATAGGAAATGTCCAAGATAGATATTATATGGAATGTTTCAAGCTCTGATGTACAGATTATTTCAATGTAGCTTTAAAAGTAGCAATAACATTAATGTAATAATTAATTTTCATATTTTGTAAATATTTAAATGGCTGCTTTAGGTATTTGTAATGAAAGTTACATAGATCATAATCTTTTAATAGTAACAATAAAAGTGTAACTGTAACTAATCTAGTAGGTACAGAGAAAAGATGTGTTTTCTTTTGAGGATACTAATATGGTTAATATGATTTACTTCTCTTTTAAAGGTGTATGTGTACTGATCTGTCTTTACACCCAAAATTTAAGAGGCTTTCAGAAACGTACCTGAACACTGTTTTTGGACTAGATGTTGAACAACTGGTAAAAATCATTATCATTGCAATAACTCTATGCTGTGAACGCATTTGCTAATCCAGAATACTCATACTCTGTTTTTAAGTTTTCTCATGTTAGTCTCCTATAGCTAATGTGAGGAAGATAGTAATTTGGTTTTCTTTCTATTTATACTGATTTGTATCCAAAACCTAATACCATCAGAGGTGAGCACGTAGGCATGTAGTAGGGAACAAGTAGTCAAGTATTTGGTCATAATTTAAAGAGAGTTCCACATAAATACGAGTCTAGTTTCAATAGCATAGTTTTTTCTATGCATTATTTAGTTTTACTTAGACAGTTCCTAAAATTACACTTGAATCAGAAAATCTTGGAAAGTGCTATAAATGCTAACAATGAATAGTTACAGCATTATTGTACATGAAGCATGAGGAGGTGAAGATTTGGTTTTACTGATCCAGAAAGTCACCTATAGTGAAGAAAAACTGTTATTTTATGACATTCAAAGGAGAAAGATGCTGTACGATCATGCAAGGAAGCAGTGTAAGCAATTTACTCAGTTAGTTGGCATGCAGTGTGACCAGATCTTCTCTTAATTACTTCTGTATAACTGTACTCAATTTTGTCTTAATCCATCTGTACTGTGAGTTCACTGCAATTTCATTTCGGCCATTTCCTCTATTACAAACCACTTAAATACTATCAATCTGAAAGTGGAAAGGTTGATTTATACAGTATATGTATAAATATACAAACAGGTTGCAGTCAAATCCTCTCACAGATTTTCTTAGGAGTAAGAGCAATAAATAAGATAACCCTCAGTATTTCCTGAGGCCTAGTTGCTGTTTGTACATTCAAAGGACCATATTTTCTTTTATAGAGATATTCGTGGCTCATAGTCTGACACAGTTTTGGTTCTGTAGAAGTTCAAACAGGTTTATTAAAATACCAATGAGTTAGAGTCATGTAAATAGTTTACATAGCAATGGATCATAAAAATATTTTTGTAAAGAGTAACTAAAGTATTTGTTTAATATGCTAAATTGCTGGATACAGCTGATCAGTGAAAGAGTGGATATGCAGGATGAAAGATGGAATTTCAGTTATTGAGCTTTCCCTCAAGCACACATACTATTTCTGTTACATATGCTAATTTAGTTTTTCCATTAACTTCTGTGTATAAAACCAGAAGTGTAATTTGGTAGCAAAAACCAGAAAATTACACTTGAACATTCATTTCTTTAGAATAGATACCTTAATTTGGACCAATCAACACAGATAATACAAGATTTCAACCTTCTGTCTGATTTCTAAATATTCATAATACAGCACTGTTTTGTGTAGTAATGTCATAAATGATTTGTTTAGATAACTGAAGAATGTACCAAAGCATGGGGCTTTTACAGCAGGAACTTAATGAAGCTGTATTTTGGGTAAGTGTACGCATTTTACATATACCTCAGGATCATCTTAAGAAAAAATATTTTACCAAAGCAATATTTATGTAGTTTCATAGTTCGGGCGAGGAAAAAGTTCTCGTTTTAATAGACCAATGTGAAGAGATCAGAAACTTAGTTTTGCCTTTATTTTTCTTCAGCAGTGTTAAAAATAGTCAGTTCTGAGTTCCTGCCTGTTCCAGACTGAACAAAGGCCTTTGACATTTCTGTACTTGAATCAGCATTATTTACTAGTAATATAGTAGTATGCCCAGTAATAAAAGGATAACTTGTGTTTGGTTCTGAAAGTAAAAGATCTGCATTCTCTTCTGCTCTTTCTTAGGTTTCCCTTATACTTGGGATTAGCTCACTCATGCTTTATGTAATCCAATTTCCCCTTTTAAAAGTGAGGATACTCCATGGCTATGTTTGAAAATAAAATCACAATAAATAAACATGTTTGCTAATTTCTTTGTTGTAGGCATGTATATCAAAATTTAATGATTCTCCAATTAGAGTAGTTAAGTTTGGGCTATTCTGTTTTGAAAAACATGCGATGCTAATTATATAGGAAGCACAACTCTGCCAGGAATACTGGTGTAAATCCTTACTAAGCATCACAGAATCACAGAATTGGTAGGGAGGTGAAGATTTTCAAGATAGACTGTGATTAGCCTTGTCTGTTTTCAGTCATCTTGAGAATCACAGGTGTTGGAGACATGACAATCTCTGCAGGCACTTTATTCCAGTACTGCATAATCCCTTCTACTAGAAATATTTTCCTAATAGCTGAGCCTTCCTGGCTATAAGAGAAACTCTCTCTCCCCTTTTAAATTTTGTCTTATACACCAGGGACATGGAAGATTATTCCTTTTTCCTTTACAGCAGCATTTTGATGATTGTCTGAGCTAACAGTTTTGTTTAATTATCACGGAAGTTGGACTGGAACAGGAGAATGTTCCATTTATAATTGCTCCCAACTATATGAAATGAAATGACTTTTTAATTTGAAATGAGAGAGATTTTGGCAAATGAGAGTAGTCATATAAAATCTCATTTATTCATAGTCTTTCCAGCACATCAGGTACAGAGAGATAGTGTATTTTAATATATCAGTAACATATGATTCATTTGAAATACTTTTTTTTTGTTCTGAATCTTATTATTTCTTATTACTTAGCTTAGAAGAGAATTTTTTTTAAGAATGTTTAAAATTCTTAATCTATAAATGGAATTTATATTCTACTACGTTCATTTTTATTTGTATTGTCAAGAAAATGTAAGTAGCATTTAAGTAAAGGAGTGCATCTAGCACATGAAAATTGTTCTCTATAAACACTCAAGTGTCATCCCATAATACAGATCTGTACATGAAAGTATAGGAGAGTATGATGGTGGAAGCAAGCAAGTTTTTATTCCTCTTTACTGTAGAATATTACAAACAAGTAGAAATTTTATTAAAATGAGTGAGCGGATTACTACTGGAAAATATTATCATGCATATTTTATTTGACCTATAAATAACATCAGTTTTATTCAGAAGTTTATATTGTTGAGTTTGACTGCTTTGTAATTTACAGCAAATTGCAGTTTTATAGATTTTCCTTCATTAAGGTCAGGAGCCACATTAAATTATTCATTCTGATTTCCATTTCAGAGGATGGTTAAAATACCACCTGCTGAAAAAGAGTAAAAGAAAGAAGGCAGAGCAGAAGGTGGCTCTAGCAGTAGACCATTATAACGTGCAAATAGTAAGAGTTATTATACAGAAGTGGAGCATGTGGGTGCACATTCACAAGCAAAAAAGGACATGTAAGTCTGTATAGCTGCTTTGCATAAGACAAAAAATATGTTGTGTAAAATTATGCTGTGTACATTAAATATATTTGGTCCAACAATTCATCTAGTTATCTCTTTGTAGGATACCATTCACTGTCTGACCTGTGGTAACTTGATGCTATGAATGCCGTGAGAGGCAGTTCCCTCTGTTAGGACGGACGGTGCTGCTACTCTTCTCTAAAGATTGAGCAGTGATGCTGATGCAAAGCAGGCTTGGGAAGTGTAAGGGAAATGAAGTGTACAACAGAAGCACAGGGTGGAGTGAATCGGGATGCTTTTCTGGGAGGTGAAGAGTGCAGTGACAGGGATAAAACAGAAGGGGTCACAGAGAAGACAGAAGAAAAAATACTGTGCTCATTCTGCCTGGGACTTCACGTTCCATGGATCCTGGGGGTATGGGGTTTTTAAATGTCTCTACAAGGCAGCAGCTGTGTACATAGACTCTGTTAACCAGAGTCCACCAGACAGAAGTGTCACGAAAGTAAAGAATGGGCCAAAACCACTACCTATAGCTTTGAGTTTGAGCTCAGGCAGTTACATATGATTCAAATATTCCTCTTACAGAGCCAGAGGCTCAAGCTGTTGTCTCACTTTCCTAGGTAGTTTTCAGAGACTCCTATTCTTTTTCTTTTATATTCTCTTCTAAATGTTGCTGTCAGCCAAGGCACCTTTTGTTAATTTTAAATTCACAGAAGCAGAGGAGGAGACATCTAAAGGGCATGGTTACACAATTCCTTCCAAACTTTTCTTAAAAGTAATTTTTAAAAATGTTTCCATTAATTCATAGTGAACACGCGCTCTTTCATAACCTGCTTTAGTGTTCTTTGTACATTTAACACTGGTGTAACACTTAGCACTTTACTGAATTTATTCTTACAATGTTTGACTTATATGCCATCTGAAACATTATTAAAGTTTTGTTATTCTATTTTATTTTGCTGAGGTCTGTATAGATATGGCATCTCCAAGGTCTGTGCAATTATTGGGTAATTTGGCACATCCAGCTGTAGATTGGTATTGGCTTGTACACAACTCTGACACATTGAAAGTATGTCTTGTTTATGCCTTGCCAGCTAACTTGAAATCCTATTGTAATGGTCTTAGTTATATCTATTGTAAGAGGTTGTTATTTATTTCCTTACAGAATCCAAATTGATTATCTGTTTTACTAAAATTTAATTTGATTGTTGTTCATCTAAAGCACTTAAATGACATACTTCTTCTTACTTGTGGTCTTCAAGTTGGTTATAACTATGTGTATTTTCAGTGGCAGTGAAGAGATTGCAACAGATCTTTAATAAATTATACTTAAATGCTGTCGTGAAGGCTTGGCATGCAGAGGCCCACAGTTCTTCAGAAACAAAAGCATATTTTGAGGTATGCACTATAATACTTTAACTATAGTAAGCTTACTGATTAAAGATTGATTCCGTTAATTCCAACTGGAAACCCAGCGCTATCAATATTAAATGAAGCATTTTAGTGTACTACTACTGATACTATTCTTTAGTACTGGTGGTGTTATGGGCAGCAGATCATTACCTCTGTAGACTACAAGTAAAAGTCTGCTTATATCTTAAGCAGCAAAAGGGGTTGAGTGTAATTGTATATTATCAGTGATCTAGCTGGATTGGATCAGGTAGCTGATGTCTTAGGGGTAATATTACCAGTTGAGATGATCATCAGCAAAGATGATGCCTCTGGATCCCTGCCACCAGAATCCAAGAGGTATAGATTCCTGCACAGTGAGGAGAAGGCTCAGTAACCTCATCTCCTCCTCACAAGCATGGGGTAACCAAAATTATGGTCACCTGAGAGTAGGCAGCACATGGACAGCCTCATATGCCCCCTGCCAGCAGCCCTATCTGGTCTCGCTGTGAAAAACAGGCTTTTCCTCATTTCTGGGAAGGTTGCTGCTGCCAAGGAAGAGAATGCTATAGCTTGATGCTCGGCAGATACCGTATGGGAAATGGGAGAGATGGAAGCTGTAAGACTGGGACGCTGCTAATAGCATGGAGTTCCAAAATCATGCTCCTTTTCCTTGGCCTTCTGTAGGATAGTCAGTATGGAAACCAGCTGGGGACAATTTATCAGTCGCTGGCTGCCAGACACCAGTTAGAATATCCTTGCTGGAGTAAACCTGTCATTGGTGCTGCTCTTTCTCTGGTTTCTCAAATTAATTGCTAGACTCTCATTTTTATTTATGCTTCTTCTCCCTCCTGTACATTTTCTTTATCCTCTTTTCTTGCTGCTTTCTTAAAATATTTAAAATCTTAGTCTGACTAGACTGAGTGCGCAAAAGACATCTTGTTGCAGAAGCGCATGAGGGCATTCTTGGGGAATAATATTCTTAAATTCTTTCCATTCTTAATAGCAGATGAAAGGGTTGGTTGGATTTCCATAATTAGATTAAAATGCATAGAACAGAAAGAATATAACCGAATCATTTTTGCGTACAGTTCTGTAGGCATTTTGGGTGCAATTAAGTCACCTAAACATAGGTTTCTGGTGTAATTCAGGATGCCCTGGGATTCTCAGGCAAGGCTAGACCAGGCAGGTCTTGAGCTTAAAGCTCAAGAAATGCAAGAATCCTCTGCTATCTGCTATCCTGTGTCAATCTTTTGTGGATATCTTGGATAATCCAGGGCGTCTAAGATAACACTCCTTGATTTTAAAATGCAGAATTAAACCATCAATAATTATAAATTGTAATAAACTAAATGGTCTAGAAGAACTCACGTTACTGCTAATGGGCAAATACATTTTCAGAATGGGAAGTTACAATCTAAAGTTCATTATTCACATTTACTTGGTTCTTTCTTGCTATGCTATCCTACTGTTTTCTTCCTTCTCCTGTTCTTTATTCCTAATTCCTCCTTTCCTGCATAGTTCCTCTTTCTTTACTCTTCTCCTCTCTTCCCTGTAGCAGTATTTAAATAAAAAACATTTTTATAACCCCTGACACTCTGTTTCTAGAGCTAGAATAAAAGGAGATTCAATGTTGCTCCCATGTTGAGTGTATATGAAAAAAAGTATTTTTCACGCAGTGTACATTGTTGGGTACATTATAACATCAGAGAGATTTTAGTAGTGATACCTTTAGAAGACCTGGTCTGAAAAAATCACATGTGCCATAGCGTGTTTATGTCGTTGTGTGTACACAATGTTTTAGTCTGGAAATGCAGGTAGACTCCTGTCCTTCTGTATTGTACTGTTATGATGCAAAATCATGAGATGCACCCTAAAACTACAGTTGTCCTCAGTAATAGCAGTTATAAATGCTCATAGATGTGTAACTACCTGGGATTTGAAAATATCTAGTTAAGTTTACAAAAAAAAAATTTAATTTTTAAAATATTTAAGTGTATTTGAAACTTTGAACCTGCAATTAAGATAAAATCGTGCTTCCCTTGTATTATCTTTTTTAGAGTTTGGCAAAGGAAAGTCAGAAAAACTTCTGTGAATTAAATGATCTTTCCACCAGCCATGAAGCATCCCTTTTACCAGAAAAAGCCTTGTTACAGGTTTGTGATAGTTGGATGTTCTTTTTAATTTTTCATGTATATTTCATAAAGGGTATATATAATATTTTGTTGAAAAGAATATATTTGTGCAATGGAAAGGACGGTTCCTGTTCACATTGTTCACTTTGAGTCAGGTGGAATCCTTTGAAGGATGACAATGCTATTCTTTCCTTCAGTGGCACCTAATCATAATCTGCACGTCCTAACCTGTGTCCATACCTATGCAACTTGCCACACCTATAAATAAATAATTATTCAAATATTCAGGAATTCTGAGGTTGGTAGTAGCATCCTTTCTTCATTAAACCTCCTGAAATAGCGTAATCTTTCTGTTGGTTCTGTAACAATACTGACTGCATCATTCCTTTTTTTGTAGCTTGGGAGAAATCTGTTTATCTTAGTCTATGACCCTTGGTTTTTTGACATCCAAGCCATGAGCTCAAAACATAGTGACATCATAAGCTATCCTTTTAGGTTGCCCTTTTTTGAGGTCACATCATGTTCACAGTTACATGTGCTGCTGTCACAAAGGATCAGATCTTACATTCATAAAGTCTATGCACATAAAAAGCAGAATCTGGATATTAACATATCAAAAAGAATGACAGCTATTCTGAGGTATGTAGCCATACTTTTTTATTAAGGCTACAGAGCAACTGTAAAAATACATTATAAAATTTTCTCTTCTTTTTACATATAAAATTAATTTTATAGCCTATATAAATCAAATATTCTGTCAGTGCTGCTTCAGTGGTTTAGCAGAAAACGTTAATGTCTTCCATTACTTGAGCAATTCCAACTCTGAGGTCTGGAGCTGAAAAGCAAGGTATTTTGCCAGTTTAAAGTTTGTATATATTATCATAGTGTATATTTTAATGTGTGGTTTTGGGGAGAATGAAGTAGGATGTCAGAATTCTACTGATTTGAACAGGAAAAAATAACCTAAAGAATAAGAACAAAGAAAAATGCATAATCCACACAAATTTCAAGCCATATTTTCATTCATATATATATGTCATTGTAGGAAGTGGAATTATTTTTGTTTATCTGTATTTAAATAGCATTTGCTATTTAAAATCCAAAAGCTAGAGCTGGGAAAATTGTATGTCATGAGAGAAATCAAAACTATATCACTGCAGTGGAAAAAACACAACAGGTAATAAAATTAATAACAGCCATAAGGTAAGGTGAGTATATTAGGGAGTGTTAGTCAAAACTTCATTGTAGTAATGATGATGTTTTTTACTACAGAGCAATCAGAATCTGTTGGATTTTCAGGAAACAATAAATGAAAGCAACATCTTCTGAGTATTTTCAAATCTGCTGATTAATTTCAAAGATCTTTAACTAGCAGTATGACCATTCAGGAAAGTTCTGTTCTTGTGACTGAGCACACAGGTAAAGACAAAGAAAAGTAAAAGTCCTGCATCTTAAGCAGCAGTTGGTATCTTTTCCTACGTGTGCTTCCCTGTACCCCATCCAAAAAGAAACTCCCCTACCAACTTCTGTCTTTAACAGAATGAAGAGCATAACATTTGAGATAGTGAGGACATAGGTTTGGGATATAGATGAAGACAATAGCCAAGGCAGGAACGGAGGGGTGTGTATGTGTTAAATGGCTGGTGTCCTAGACAGGGTTCAGGGTTTGCCACCTCTGTCTGAGCTATCGTGGGGTATGCTGTGGTTGCTCTGGTGCATGGGGGCACAACAGTTCCCTGGTTTTCCTAGGGAGCTATCCCAAGAGAAGCTGGCCACAATGAATGAGAGCTAATTCTCTTGGGTACTTTAGGGTAGGGAGGGTTAAGGACTGGGATCAACAGAAGGACAACAGCAGCAGTGCAGGGATTTGGCAGGATGCATGGAAGCATCTAGGGCTAAGGAGCACCTTCTGGTGGGTCTCCTTCAGGCACAACAGAGAGAACAGGCTGAGCCAGCTGTGCTGAAAGTATTTTTGCAAGTATTTTTTGTGTATGTGGAATAAATCATGCAAGTGATTACATATGTGGGCTGGAAGCTAGAGCTGTGGATCTCTGGGGCAGGCCAGAAAATAATGGCTTTATTTATGTGTAAAGTGCAGAGGGAACAAAAGTTATTACAGAAGAGCAGGAAGCCTACCAAAATGTTTCCATTTTGTATTTAAAAACAATGCAACTCCCTTGATCCAGACAGAAGTGCAGATCAGTGTGGCTGTCACCTGCTGTTCTTTTTCTTGAGCTGTCTTTACTTTATTTAGTACAGGAAGTGCAGAAAGAGCTCTTTTGTTTACTGGCACAGACCAGAGCTTTGCTGTAGCTGAGTGCCTAACTATTTGCTGCAGAAAGACAGAGTTTGCTTCATTTCTTCCTCTCCTTCCTCTCCTCCTTCTCCATCCTCTCTTTTCTATGTGTCCCTTCTCCTTTTTCTCCCTTTCTCCGTTTCCCTGTTTCTCCCTTTTCCCCCTGTGAAAAGAGGATATATTCTCATGCTATCTTTTTGTGGATTCAGTATGTAGATACAATCTCCTTCCACAGAAGTTTGTTACTGGGTGCTGTGTCCTCCAGGCCAGATCTGTGTTTGCTCTGAGCATTCACAAACTGTGGAAAATAAAGTGTGCCTGGACTTCCCAAACTTTTGGAACGGATACAGAGACTTTATTTGTCTCTGGCACTGAAGATGACATTTGGTGGTGGATCATTTCAAAATCACAGGGTTATTTAGTAAATATCATTATTAGCATGGTATCATTTATTGCAGCTTTCTGTTCTGCTTCTTGTGCAAAACCCCCTTATCTGTCAGTTTGCATTTACTGCTGGGACAAGCTCTGTCCTCAGGGCCAGCTGGAAACCATTTGCTTTGTAGATTGCAGTTTCCTAAAAAAAATCAGTGGTACCACAGTATGCTGATGTTGAGTTATTGACAGAAAATGATTGCTGTGCTTTAAAGCTGGTTACTGTGGGCTTGACCTAACACAAAATAAATGTTTCAACAGACCTTTTCAGAACTAAAAATTCAAAAGGTTACTATCAAGACAGTGTCAAAGTAAAAGCCTTGCTTTTGTTCTGCTGATAAGAAACTAAACCCTATTAATGAACAATAATACAGTTGATATTTTATTTCTTATTCTAAAGAGTCATATAGTTCCATTTATTCAAACACTTTTTGTGAGCTCTATCAAAATTCCTTAGATTTTTAAATTAGATTGAATTTTGAAGTTAAGGAAATAATCCACATGTCCAAATTAAACAGACTTTTGGTTAGAGAAGCCTGTGGTGGATGCAACTATAATTATCATGGGATGCAAGTCTTTGAAGGGGTGGGGTGTATGGAAGGAATTTGCTATTGAAAAGGACCTACACACTTCTGTACTTTAAAAAGAAGTTGTAAGTCCCCAGCTGCATTCTGAACTACCTAAAAATCTTTAAAATGAGTATGGCTTTAGCAAGCTCCCAGGACTCCAGAAAAAAACATAAAGCCAGAAAAGTTGGTTTTTAAGAATTAAGTGGTGTATATGAAGTGAATACAGACAGCTTGTGGGACAACAGCATATTTTGAGGAGCTGGCAGATTGCTTGGATGTATTACCTATGCAGTTAAATGCTAGTGGTAACTGACACATTATCAGTGATTTTCCTACCTGACCTGTCCTTTTTTAGCTAAAGAAATTATAGCCCTTGGATAGTTTCTATAGGCTGAAGTAATTTTTTTTAAATCTCAGTAGAACACTCTTGATGTTTCTGCTTGTTTCTTTTAATTGAACTTAATCTCTGTGATAAAAATGGGTTCTAGCAGATACGCTTTTTGATCCTGTTCATTTCAGTAGAACTGCACAGAATATAAATGAGGATAAAAGTTTCTCCTAAGGAAGAAGTATTTCCCTTAGTGAAACATCCTTTTTATTAGAACATCCCTTTTTGATTCTAATTTCTTAGTAACTAATTTATTACAAAGCATATTTCAAGATAAGCTGCACTTTGGTAATCCATGTACTCTACACACGTAGTCACTCTTTCTTCACTTCTTAGCTATGTTGATCACCAGAAGCGAAACAAAATTTGCAGTTACCTCCTTGCTTTTACAAAGGCTTTATGTGCATTGCTTCTGAGTACAACATTCATTTGAGCCTCAAAGCCTCTATTTGACTCAAGATTTCTCTTGTGCCTGTGTATTCTGAGTGAACTCTGTACTGAGCATGCATTCTTCTTTCTGGAGCATATTTCTAATCATACTTCATATACTGCTATAATGAAAAACAGGTTTTATTGTATGCATTGTTGTATGGAAAATTGTATAACTAATATGGAAATATTTATATTCTATAAAACACACTGGCATCTTTGCTATGTTTTCACTCTGACATCTTACTCTTGAGGTATATATCTTAAATTCTAAGCTCTTTGGAAATGTATATCAAGAAAAATTCCTCTTCAGTGACAGGTTATGGGATGAAATTAGAAAGTTCTTTTTGTGTTTTCTGTCAGGTAATTACCACACCACGTTTAAACTGTTGCCATAGATGTATAATTGTGCAATTAGAAAATTAATTACGAGTGTGAAGCTTTCCTTATAGAAAAGTTGCTTTAGGAAAAGTCATGTGGGATTGTATTAACCATGTTCCTTTCAGCTGGTTTCTTTTTCATAATCAGAACATCTAAGCGTTGTGTTTCATGTCAGATATTTGTATTTCAACATATGATGTAGCATTTCAGTTCTGCAAATGATTATGAATATGGGAATTTTTAGTATGTAAATAATCCAGCTGTCTTAGATAAAATTCTGCATATGCTTTTTGTCTTTGAGTCTTAAATGCATCTTACGTTTTCAGATGGTTATGATATAATGCGTGTCTGCTTCTATAGCAAAACCATTCGATTTTACTGTATGTTCCCTCATTTCATTTTACCAAGTTTCTTCTAAGATGAAACACTAGTATTCTGTCGGCAGAAATCCTGTTTATACTTGGTCATGAAAATGGCAGGTGAGGAGCTATGGCACAAGCTTGCCAAACGTCCTGTTCATTCAGTCTCTTACTTTTATGGCCTGACACTGCTGTATCTAACATTATTTAGCAGGGCAAGACCTTTTTAGAACGCTATATTTTCGTTTTTCAAAGTGTTACTTAGTTGTAGCAGTATAGTTTGAAATATTTACTTATATAAAATGAATTACCAGTATAACTTTTATATCTTCTCTATCATAACACATCGATTTCGATAGTCTAAAGATTTATAGATATATTTACCAAATTATACTAGTTAAAAAGACCTCTGAGGCAGAAACTACAAAAACTCTTCACAGGGAAATTAAATTGAATTTAAAAGTACTATATTTAGTCTACAAAGCTTTAGTCCAAATTATATTGCCTCAAGTAAGTTTAGGAGAGGTGTTTTAAAAGATATTGTTTTGATACAGGTGAAATAAAACTGCTGATAGTGCATAAAAATCTTCAGTTTTGAAACATCCCTGTCATTCTTCATCAGAGCTTGAAATTATGTGCTTTTAAGCAAAGCAGTATTTTCATACTCTTTGTTAAGGCTGTTAATGAGTAGTTATTGCCATTCTGCTATAAAAGGTATGTTTAAACTCCTAAGAAAGAAGTATTTAATTTGAAAATAGCTCTTCTTGTTTAGGATAGGTGAATATGCATCATTTAATTCAGCAGTGCTTCTTACTGAATAGGTTTTCATATCATCTATGTCTTTTTTTCTTACACAGATTTTCCGTTACATAAATTTGGTTGATCTGGCAAGATGTGCTCAAGTTAGTCAAACATGGATGATGCTGTCTCAGCACAGTTCGATATGGAGTGATGTAAGATAATAACTATATTCTATTTCAATTTTATTTATTTTTAACAAGAGTGAGACAAGGAGGTAATTTACCTTAAGAATGCTAAATATCAGGAGAAAAGTTTTATCCCCAAATATGACTTGTTCTATTCAGCTACATGAATAAAAAAATAGGAGCAACTCAAATGAAATTGTCTGTTGATATATCATTACAAAATCAGTGGAACTGAAAGAGAATTGGCTCCTAAGGCTTGGCTAAATCTAGACAGTTAAGTGTCTTAGGCTTAAGACCCATTTAGGATCCAGAAGGTGAACAGATTTGTTCCTTGTGAGGCTGAGAAGAGATCTGAACTCCCAAATTTACTATTCTGTCCCTTGAGTGGGATATAGCTCATAGGCCTATATCTACCTTCCTGACTGAGGGAAAGAAGTTCTGGAGGGCTCAACAATGCTCTGCTTACATGTCCTACTGTCTGGTTCTAAGCAGCTGCCTGTTCTCTGGGTGAGTTTCTTTACACTGACCTTCTGATGTGCTTACTGTCACACGTATGTTTTGTAGAGTCTCTGCTCAGATTTGAATTGTTGAATCTACCCTTGGGCATCAACACCTAAAAGATCAGTTTGTAGTGCCTTTATTAGGTCTGGTCTTAAGTTCCTGTGATGAATTCATAATCTTAATGAACCTAGTATTAAAAGTTCTGACAATTTTAATGTAAGAAAAACAAAATCCTAATAAGAAAGTGAAAAAAACAGAAAAAGTTCTGAACTCCTGACTTCAGGTACTGTAACCAATTCTAAGCCTTCTGCATAGAAATAATGGTAAAAAGAAAAGGTAATAGGTTTTCAAAGTATTTGGGTAATAAACATGTATTATGAAATGTACAACAAACAGATGTGGTGTGGCTTTAGCAGATTATACAAAAGAGGAAAAAAAGCTTTTTCTGGCCTTCTTATGAGCAAATTTAAAGAAGACATGAAAAAGACTTCTTCAAAAAGGAGATATTTCTTATTAAAGAAATAATAAATATTGGTAGATAGACAGTTAAAACTATTTTCTAGTCTTTTGTGTTGAAACTTCTTGAACTTCTGACAGATATTAAGAAAAACGATGGGTTTGGTCAAAGATCTAGATATCCCCAGCTTGCAACTTAAATCACTTTAAGGATCCTTCTGCTAAAACTAAGATGGTAGATTACGTAGTCTTGATATCTTGATGTACCAGCAGACATTAACTAGAAAAAAATAATCTTTGGCAACTTTAGGATTTTATAAAATAAATGTTCCAGTCTAACAATTTTCTTTGCATTTAGTATTCTGAGATGTCGTATTTTGGCAGTTAAAGACTTGTCTTAGCTCCATAAATGCTGTAGACACACCTTCCTCTACATTTAAGTATTTTTAGTCAGCTGTCTAGAATTTTTATATGTAATACACAGACATTTCTGTGTTTTCCTGATTATTGATCCAGTGTTTACATAGACCATCGTGTACTCAGTAGCAGTTTTGATAATGACGTGTCTTTGTATATACTACTTATTTTTAGGACTGAATTATATATCAATTGTTTAAATTTTTAGATCAATTTTTCATCAGTGAAGCATAAAGTTCAGGACGAAATAGTAGTAAATGTTTTGCAGAGGTGGTGTCCATGTGTCTTACGCTTGAATCTTCGAGGTTGCTGTTCTCTTCACTGGCCTACCTTTAAAAGTATCGGTAAGTATTACCTGTATTTATTAAGTTTTAATCCCCTCTTTAAACTGTGTTTTCACTCTATGCTTCACTGTTGTCCCATTTTGCTGCCTATATTCATCTCTATGTGTCCAGCCATAATGAAGCAATGTGAGTAGGATATATATAAAATTACTTTAAAGGCAGCCCAATTCCTTCATGACAGTCTCCAGGCCCAGTGACCTCCATATGACTGAACATTGCTACATACAAATAGAATCTTTATATTGTGTGTGAAATACTGTAGTATGACAAATAAGATTGGAATGCAAACATGTGCTTAAATATATCAGAATGCCAGAACCCAACTGTACTGAGATAGTTAGCACAGAATCACAGAGTGGCTGAGGTTGGCAGGGACCTCTGGAGGTTGCCTGATCCAACCCCCCTGCTCAAGCAGGGCCACCTAGAGCAGGTTGCCTAGGCCTGTGTCCAGATGGCTTTTGACTATCTCCCAAGGATGGAGATTCCACAGCCTTCCTGGCCAACCTGTGCTCAGTCACCCTCATAGTACAGCAGTAAATACACCCTGACGTTCAGATGACACCTCCTGTGTTTCAGTTTGTGCCCATGTTCTGCCTCATCTGTCACTGGGCACCCCTGAAAGAGCCTGGCTTCATCTTCTTTGCACTCACCCTTCATGTATTTATATATATATTGGTAAGAACCCCCTGAGCCTTCTCCAGCTGAATATTTGCAGCTCTCTCAGCCTTTCCTTATAGAAAATATACTCCAGTTCCTTAATCATCTTTTTGCCCTTTGCTGGACTCCCTTCAGCATGTGCATATCTCTTGTACTGGGGAACCTGGAACTGGACATGGTACTCCAGTTGTGACCTCACCAGTGCTGTGTAAAGGGGAAAGATCACCTCCCTCAGCCTCCTGGCAACACTCCTCCTAATGCATAGGTGTATACCATCTACCTTCTTTGTGGCAAGGACACGTGGCTGGCTCATGTTCAAACTGGTGTCCACCAGGACCTCCAGGTCCTTTTCTGCCAAGCCGCTTTCCAGCTGGGCTGCCCCCAGCATGAAGTGTTACACAGGGATTTTCCTCCCCAGGTGCAGGATTTTACATTTCTCCATCTTGAACTTCATGTGATTCCTGCAAGCTCATTTCTCCAGCCCTCAAGGTCCCTCTGGATGGCAGCACGACCCTCTGGTGTATCAGCCACTGCTCCCAGTTTGGTGTCATCTTCAAACTTGCTGAGGGTACACTCTATCTCATCATCCAGATCGTTAATGGAGATGGTCTAGAGTGAGGTGTCCCTGCCCATGGCAAAAGGGTTGGAACTAGATGATCTTAAGATCTTTTCCAACCCTAACCAATCTGTGATTCTATGTTAAACAGGACTGGACCCAGTATTGACCCCTAGGGTGTACTGTTGCTGGTCCCAAACAAGAAGTTAACAGGCATACGCACACAAACAAAAGAGTCCTAGTGTGGTTCAAGACGTCAGTGTGATGTTTAAGTTTCAGGACAAATAATAGGTACTTGATTCTACTGCCAAAACAGAGTCCCTCTGGAAGTAGAAAAGCATCTTAGTCCTTCCTGAGAATATGTGTGGAAGTTCATGTGACCATGTGATCAGACAGCATTTTGGAATACTTTCAGGTCAGTAATCTTCTTCTCAATGCAGTTGTATGCTCAGCTAAGCAGAGAATTTGGCAAGAAAAATAAAAGCCTTTTTTTTTCAGGTCAGTGCTAGAGGGTCAGTGCTAGCTGTGAAAGTGTACTTGATATGTTAGGAATTAACCTGCATCCTCACTGTTACTCAGACATTTTATCATGAAGAGTGTTAAAACATTCTGGTAGCATTTTCATAAGAAAAAACTCTTCTGCTACAACTATGCAAGATCCCAAGCAATGTTTTTGATTACTGGCACAGCTTTACTTCAGTATTTCTCAAGCAAATGAATGATACTGATTGACTCTTTTGTAGCCTATGCTTTAACTGAATGCAAATGCATAGAAAAGGAAAATGCCTTTATTTTCCCCCCCAAAATTGTATTTTGATGTTTTGAGTCTATAGTGCATGTATTATTTAATCAGATAATACATGATTGAAACTGTTGATGCAGCCTATAACAATTTCAGTGTATTTTCTTTTGGTTTAGAAAGTGACTATGTAATTATGGGTGAGAACAATTTGCTCTCTCAAGTGGTGACGGAAAAGAACAATTGGCCAAAATAAAAAGAGTATTTGATCACGGTCTTGGCTTTTAAGTCATAGGAGAAAAGAACATCCTCAATATCATTCTCAATGATACCAGCACGCAAGTTGTTTAGTGAAATAATTCAATGTTACAATAAACTTTGACAGCTAATAAAACCAGGATGACAAAATACATCATACACAGCCACATTGCCTCCATTATGAGGTCTGTATTTAGAAATGTAAAACCCTTTTATGATTCTGTTTTCCTTATGTATTTGAGTACAAAACTAAAACCATAATAATTATTGCATTTAAAGCTAAAAACATGTAAAGAACAGTTGTGATAGAACAGAACTTTATATACACATGGTGTTTTCTATTACATTTTTTAACTGATATTAAATGTATTAAACTGTTAATATTAATTAATAAAGAATAATTATTACTTAATATTAACATATTAAAATAATTTAACTTAGAGGTATCAGCATGCTGGTTATATCAGTTGGAATATCAGTATGTTGATTGCCATCCATTTCCATTTATCTTACATATCAAAGACACTAAATTAAATCTGTGTATTTACAAACTGTGTATTTTTTCCATTTTTATTGATAATTTATGTTTTTTCTGTAGGCTCAGAATCAAAAATTTTGTCTATTTACGTATACTCAGTGCTATTAAACTAATTGTGATGATTCATGTCTGATGGTCCACAGGGCTTTTAGCAAACATTGATTTGTAAAGCTTTTCCTTCTAACTTTGAAGACACCCAGTAGCTCTTTTAAAGAATGAAACACATTAAAGTGAGTGTACTATTGCTATTTAGGTTAATAACATATTTATTCTGTTAAACCTCATTGATCATACAGCCTACTTTTGCCATTCTTTTGAAGCTCTTGTGGATGGTTTAAAATGGCTGCAAAACTAATATTTTTTTAGTGATTGAAAATCATACTGAAATCCTGTTCCTTTGACATTTCTTCAACTAACAAACTGCGTCGAACTGTCTGTTCACTTATAGGCTACAGATGTGATGAACCTTTCCATTAGAACTTCCCCAAGCTACGGTTCTGACCTCATCCTTTTGAATAAATCCAAGATTACACAGATTTTGGCAGCATGTTTTTATTGTTAAGGGTAAAAGAGCAATGATATCAGTTGGGGTTTAGGTCTGTTCAGCTGGCTAATCGTGTTAATATTCTTTTGTAAATTAATTAGCTGCTATTCTTAAGTATTGTTTTTATGTACTGCAACCTTGGTATGCGGTGTATGCATGAAATGGTAGTCATTGTTTAATGCCTACTTATACCTACAATTCCAGCTCAGACTCTTTGGCAAACGAATGTGTTATTGTGCCAAAGAAAAATGAGTGTATGAGATGCATGGATTACAGCTCAGATGCTTGTGGTATTACTCCACCCACTCAGTGATTTTAGAGAACCTTTTGACTTCCACATGTGACTGGGAACTGTGTTTAAAAGCTACCATTCATATTCGTAGTGTAGGAGCTACAATTTCCTTTGAAGCTTTTGAAGCATTTTATTGCCACTAGTGGTCTCGGTGTTGACAGACCTGTCTCTTTTCTTACACTCTGTCATGGCAAAACATTGGGCAAAATAATCTTTTCTGTGTTTCATGTGTGCTGTGTGGAGAGAGGGGCACTGTGTCTGTAGAGTACTGTAGTTTACCCCTTAAGGCAATACATATACTGCATATCAGGAAGACAATGTACCTATCATGCAATTATTTAGTAGATTTGGACAGAGAAAGAAGGAGAATCAAGACAGAAATTACTGAAAGGGCTTAAAAAAGCATATAAAGGAAGAGGAATGCCCATGATTTTCTTTTAGACATGGAAGGGCTTCTGGGATTCTGTGATTAAATGGGTACAGAGAGAAAGAAATGTCAGCATTAAATTGTGGTTTGTGGCTGTGGTGTTTCATGGAGGGTTTACTTCAGTTTACAGTACATTTCGGAGAAGCTGAGAGAAATAGTAATTAACCCTGTACTGCTGAAGTTTTTATTGTTAGTCATTGTCTCCATATGTATGCTTTTCAAAAATGTTTTTGTCTTTTTCCTTGGGCTGCCTCCTCCTGTACTATCTTCATAGTTCCTTTATGCTTTTTCTGCTCATAAAGTCTTTCCTTAAAGAATGTGCTGCTTGAGAGGTGGGCCTGTGCAAACCTCATGAAGTTCAACAAGGCCAAGTACAAGGTCCGGGACCTGGCCTGGTGCAATCCCAAGCACACATACAGGTTGGGCAGAAACTGCATTTAGAGCAGCCCTCATGAGAAGGACTTGGGGATGTTGGTCAATGAGAAGGTCAGCATGAGCCAGCAGTGTGTGTTGCAGCCCAGAAAGCCAACCGTATCCTTGGCTGCATCAAAAGGAGTGTGACCAGCAGGTCAAAGGAGGTGATCCTGCCCCTCTGCTCTGCTCTTGTGAGACCCCACCTGCAGTTCTGCATCCAGCTTTGGGGACTTCCACACAAGAGAGATGTGGAACTGTTGGAGTGAGTCCAGATGAAGCCACAAGGATAAGGGGACTGGAGCAGCTCTTGTATGGAGAGAGACTGAGACAGTTGGGGTTGTTCAGCCTGGAGAAAAGGATCTAGGGAGATCTTAGAGCAGCTTCCAGTACCTAAAGGAGGCTGACAAGAAATCTGGAGGTGAAGTTTTTACAAGGGCAAGTATTGATACTTCAAGGGGCATTGGCTTTAAACTGGAATAGGGTAGGTTTATATTAGGTATGAGGAAGAAATTGTTTCCTGTGAGACACCGGTACAGGTTGCCCAGAGAAGCTGTGGTTGCCCCATCCCTGGCAGT